ACTATTTAACAAACAATTAAGTATCCAGACATAGATATTTACTAAGGAATTATGTTATGGTCTATTTAAGGACAAGCCATTGCCAATTAGATAGTGAATAGCTTAATATATACAAAAACATAAGTATAGGGGTACTTTCAACTACCCTATAAATAGCTGGCGAAGTATCTGTCCCCACCGCTGACATCGTAATTTCAATTTCTGTAAATAACACTATAAAACATTTTATTTTATTTTTTTGTCATCAATGGTGTATTTTGAAAGATCTTATGATTACAGCAAACAGAAGTTGGAAATATTACGATTTATTGTGGTTTATTTTTAATAAAAAAACTATACTAAAACAATCATGTCCCCAGTTTTCATGTCACTACCGAAACACAAGGGGTTTTAGTCCAATGGCTGAGCCTGGTTTTTAGCCACACCCCTGCATGTTTGACAAGACAGTGACATTGCATCCCTGTCCCTCATGGCTGAATGGCAAGTAGCTATATCCCATACGTTTGATATAAATCTTTTCCAAAATCTGAAAATCGGCGTGTAACCTTAAGAATTGTCACTACCGAACACATATAATCTTCAAGTAAGTAAACTTTTTTGGGGTTTATGCAAAGTATTAGGTTTTTATGTGTGTAAACCTCTTCAAAAACGTGTATGCTAGCCATGTACATGCTAGCATTCTTTAGTTATGCTCAATTTTAGCTAGAGTCGTCACTACCGAAACATATGGTTAAGTTTCGGTAATTGACATGATCGTTTCGGTAGTGACTAAATGGAATGGTAAGCAGGTAAATCCCACCATTTTGAAATAAATGTGTTTTTAAAGTCTGAAAATCAGTGTGTTACTTTAAAGGTCTCTTATTATACTATTGTTAGGCATATTATAGGTCTCAGATATACAAAAACATGTCTATGAAGTGTTTTGCTCCAAATACCAAACAGATCACCCATTCTAGCCTCATCCCCCGCTATTTCAGCCTATTACTAAAGTGCTGATTCTGGGTCAGTAGCTTCAAACATTCACACTTCAACATAAGGCATGTTACTTATGAGTTAAGATTAAGCAATAAAGTTGAGGGGAAATGATACAACCTTGAGAACAAAATACTGCAGTCACTACTGAAACAGTGGATGTTTTGTAAAAATGTAAGTATATTGAGTTATCAACTAAAATGATACTGATTGGTTTAATGTATGTTCAATTTCAACAATCATCAACTCTGGAATCAATATGATCAGTATTATGCATTTTACAAAGAAAGTTTGCATTATGATATTTATGAATTGTATAAATTGAACTTTGATTAAAAATGCACTTATATTGATTTAATTGTGAAAACCCTCAAGACATATTTGTTAAAATACTATTTAGAGAAGGTAAAACAATCTTAACAGGTTAATATAATACTTTTTTACTACAGTGTATGTACTATGTTTCGGTAGTGACCATTTTTGGTAGAGGTAGAGGAAAAACATTCCAAAAACAGTCTGAAAATATGATATAAAAATGTATGGTTATTTTACTAGATATGTGTAATTTAATTTATATATACAAAATATATATGGACAAAGTTTTGGGGAAAAAACATACAAGTTGTCAAAACTGTTCCAACCTGACTTTGCACCAATTCGGTAGAACGGCCCATATAGGGCTAGACTACGTTGAATGTGGCCTAGTATACAATAAATAATCAACAGGTGGCCACTTCTGTTTGCCTCTTAATATGTAATAACAGAAGTCAGATGTTTAACCAAAAGAAAATGTTAAACTTAATTCCTGCCTTATTGGTAAATTTGACAACATTTTTTCCTTTTAATCAGAAGAGTTTTCATCTACATACAACGCTATGATCTCTTGTTGAAAACCTGGGAAAGTAAATGGACCGTTTTATTCAAGATTAATTTGTCAAGCTTAAAGAAAGTTGCTTCAGTGGAAAGGCCACATTGAGTAATGATCCTTGTCTCTCAGTGTATCTCTTAGCGTCCAGCTTAAACTTAATGTGAGTAAAGACAGTTTCCATCCGCATTAGCCTAAAGTAGGATTAAGAATCAGAGTAGTAGACTTCCAGTTGACTGCTTTTGTTTGAGACGGCTGTGAATGTGTTGTGGACCAGTCTGTGCTCCTGTTTTGTTCTGTTTTTTAAAGAATCTTACACATCCTAATCATTAGAAACTCTTACAGATTTCTCCACAGAGTAGAGCCGGTGTATGCCAACCTTTCCCTTGTTTCTCCGGATGGATACCGGACCTGCCTCCCCCCCTGCCTCCATGGTGGTGGGCCCTTCCCCACTTTGGCGACTGGCTGATAGGAGGAGCAGGAAAGCAGGCTCAGCGAACATCTTCAGCGATGTGAACCTGTGGCAGCTCCAGAGACTGTTCAAGGCAGCGGGGGATCAGGACGCAGAGCAGAGGGCCCAGCTGGTTTGGGGCCAAACAGATGAAGCTGAACTGGCTCAGGCGTTGATAGGACTGAGGGCCCGAAGTCAAAGGAGAGGGCTGAGGTCCAATGGGAGAGAAGCACTGGGCTCACACTGGCTACGAGCCTTCAATCACCTCAGGTAAAATCACTGCTGACCTCATCATTTCATATACATAAGGGCTGTAACTAAGATTATTACCCTAAGTATTAGAAATGGTTTAAATGGTCTACAAAATGTTAAGAAATGTCGCCCTAAACCCACAATGACATCCTCTAAAGTCTGGTTTTGTAGAAAACTCAAACATATATAGTTTACTGCCATATACATTTTTAGAAATCAGTAAATATTCACATTTAAAGTATATAATGAGAATTTTGATTTGTTTACCCTATGAAATGAATCATAATACCTAGCAAATTTGATTTAATAGTTGAGAACTACCCGAATAATCTTTGCAGCTCTAATAGGCAGCACATTCCTAACATAAAACCGTGTCGCTTTTTAAATTGTGGCATCCATATGGTTTTTAACAACATTGTTTATGTTGTCTAGGATTGGGGAGAGTTCTCCCAGCAGCCCGGGGAAGGACCCTGCAGAGGAGAATGAATCTGAGGCAGGAGCCCACAATAGTCCAGAGTCAGGCAGACACACCTCATCAGGGACATCAGGTGGAGCTACAGGGGCTACAGTGGGACTAACTGAGGGCCTGGACCATGCAGGGACTTCTGAGAGACCGGCTAGACCCAACTCAGGACTGAAGAGAGGAGAAGGGAACAATCCAGAGAGATACCTCCACAGAATACTTCACTGACTTGACCCAAACCTGACTTTCAATCTGAGTCTGTCAGCACTTCTCTCACACTCATCCCTCCTGAATACTTCTGTTGTGTTCACACACTGTTGCTAGGTTTTTAATTAACCTCTGGAAAAAGCAAGTCATATGTGTAACTGTGCAGGTTGAGAGAATAGACTATTGCCTTGAAGCCTGGTCGTTGTAATGGCTCTGATCAGATGGTACTATACTGGCACTGCACTTTAACTTGTTGCAGACACATCTCTAGCACAGCTGAATACTTATAGCAGCACAAACAACTCACTAGCTCTTGTTTTTCACACTTTTATAATGTGGTTACCTCTCAAGAACTGCCTTTTGTGTATTCCTAAATTCATCCCACCACTTACACTAACCATGCATAAGGATTGTTAAGGGTAGTGGTGTTTAGGTATGTTTGTAGTTCACATCTGTAAATCAAGTAGTAAACAACTTGACACTTATGATCACTGTAAGGAAAATTTAAGTGACTATGAAAATCTGTATTTGCCCTATCAGGTTGAAAGTACTGATACTGTAATGTATGGCTGCATTAAGGATACATTTTCAGCTGTTTCACCCACTAATGTATGATCCTAGTTGTGTGTGTGTGTAGTATGTCACACAACACTTTAAATGGGTAAGAGTGCACTGTGAGCTAATGTAAGTGTCTTGAGTTGTATACATGCATTTCCATATAATGCACATTTAGATATAAAATGATTTAAACATATAAGAGTAAAATCCAGGTGGTTCACTCTGCCTAGGGACCAAATATATATATAAATGATCCTCTACTGTTGAGGGAAACTTGACAAATAATGTTCTCATATTAAAATTAGTGAGTTGTGGGTGTGAAAACCCACTTAGCCTAGGAAATGACTGTCACTGACAAATTGCTTGAAACTAGATGAAGCTTTTTGACAACACTTTTTGTTGTCACTTTTTGATTTCAATAGAAAGAGAAGTGAGTCTTTGTATTGTTTTTCTTGTCAAAATAAATATGCTTATAAGAAAGTGACCATTCTGTAACCACTAAAACATTTTTAAAGTAATGAAAATTTAAAATGTGTTTATGAAAATGGCTTTGAAGGGGCCCTAGTATGCTTTTGGGGGTTTTCCCCTTTACTGTAGTATGTTATTATTTGTTAATGTAAATGATGTGCAAAGGCTCAAATACCAGAGTTCCCTCCACATGCAGTTTTTCACTTTTTGAACATTAAAGCATGTAAACATGTCGCATTGGATGCACAAAATACAAATATGAACCTGAAAATAGGGCCCCTTTAAATTGATGTTCAGGATTTTCATTAATATATATACTTGACCATTTAGCTAAAAAAATGCTATGAAGGTAGCCTACAATATTTAATAGTTTGCCATTTTTGGATGTTCATTTTTACCATTATCCAACAACTTACACACAGTTTTCACACATTCACACCCAGGGACTGCAGCTCACACCACAGCCTGCCACTGTTCCTCTGAGAAGCTCCACTTGCTTAGATTGGTGTTACGTGCCTTGCTCAAGGACACCTCATTAGCAGGTATTGTTGAATAGAAAAGCATTACACATTTCCTTTCACAGTACATGTAGACTTTCTGTTCCTAATGCCTTTGCAATAATAACTCTAGAATAAAAAGTCTGCCTAGTAACAGCTCGTAAAGCTGTATTCAATTAAATGCTGCCCCCCAGTGGTCACGTCTAGTGTTGATGCTATCATGTAACTCAGCTTGCGGTCACTAGATGGCACAGAAGGTTTGGTTTTGGGAAAGTATACCACTACACTGATTCAGGGAATTGTAATACTTGAGATGCATTGCACAGACCTTCCCACAGAGAACCACAAAAACAAGATTATGTCATTAGGGGCTTAAAGAGCAAACTAATGTTAGCAGACAAATAGGTAATGTTGTTGATCCTTGCTTCTCATGTTTAGTGCAGTGAAAGTTTTAAAGATCCAAAATATCAGGCAGTCACATCATAACAATACAATATATTAGACCTAACAAGGCTGATTATGCATGCCTTTTATCCATACTTCTATACACTATCATACTGCCAGCAGGTAAGCAAGAAGACACAGGAAGGAAGGAATCACTCCTGGGTATATCAGTACACACAGCAAGGCCTTTATCTTTTAGTGAAAATTGATATTTGCTTCAGGTCTCCCTTCATCCACCACATGTTCTCTTCCTCATCAGTTTCCTCCATTTCCTTCTTGGCGATGCAAAGCGATTCACAGGTTATTTGGAAGATAACATCCTCTCTGTGTTTCCTGGATCTACTAGATAGTGCTATTTGTGCAATGGCAATCTGAGGCATCATCTGCAGGGGAGCTTTGTAAGGTGCTGAAACCCAGCGAACTCCCTCAGAGCAGGGGAAGCAGCAGATTGGCTCTGAGGTAATCCTCCATTCGCTGAGCTTCCCATCTTGTTGTGTAAAGTAAGCTCATTGCACTGAAAACCTAATTTTGGAGTCTATATAGGTTATCTTAACCTCTCATTCCCTCCATAAATCTTATGACTATAGATGTGGAATGATGATCCAGCAGTAATATAGCTGCAGCTAGACTCAGAGGTTTGCTTTGTGCCTCAGCTCATTCTTTACTGTTATGGCCAGTGGAAGAAACTCAGTAGGAAATATTTCTTACTTTCTAACGAGTATTTGACACCTTTAGTTATTACATTTTCACGTCAAACAAAACATGTGATAGGCTTGTAATGCTATGAGACGGCTACTTACAAAAAAGCATTGTGAACTCCTTATTGTGATATGTTGTGCTCCTCTTCCCTACTCAGTTTATTTCCTTTAAACAATTATGTTCTTTGCCCAAAGAGACAAAAGTGTCCAATGTTATGATGAAATAAATAAAAAGCAATACTTTCTTCTTCCTATTCCACTTATCATACATTGTTTGTTACTGTTTGAAATGAAATGTTTAGTTTAAAGATAACGGATTGTTTTGTTTATCAACCTGCTAGATCCCTTTGATTTGAACACATGTTGAAGGAAAGTGAGCAGTAATCCTGGCAATGCATACATGATGTAAGTGACATAGTGAGCTTTATTTAGAATTATTCTTTTAGTTTTTATTATAAGACTGGTGATGTGTTGCCCATATTCTTTTAATTAGATAAAAGCATCCACATTTGTCCTTGGTGCTGTAACCGCCACCAAACCACCAGATTGTACAAATAAAATGCTAAACGGCCTGCTGGATCCAGTGTTTTAATGTGCACACCACCTGGGATGTTCAGTGAACCACCACTCCACAAGTTATAGTTTTTTTCAAGAGCGGATCTGAAGAACAAGCACATTTTTTTTTAATACAAAATGTGATACGCTGTTCATTTACTTTAATAGGATCCTGACCTCAGGACCTTTACTTAAAGGCGACCTATCATGGAAAATGCACTTTTGTACGTCTTTTATACATGAATATGTGTCCCCGGTGTGTCAGGGAACTCACCAAGAGTCAGAAAACGCAACCCTCTCTCTTTTCCTCCATACCCAAATCTCTAAAAACGGGGCTCCAACGGAGCTGATTATTATTTGAAATGTTCTGACGTCAGAAAAGGGGTGCTCCGCCTATATGGGCAACTCTCCACCTATCAGGGGAATGAGAGACCGGTCGAAAGTGCTGGAGAAGCTATAGTAAATGGACTGTACTTATAGCGCTTTATCCAGTCTTTAAGACCCCTCAAAGCGCTTTACATACTACATGTCGTACACCCATTCACACAGAGCAGTGTACCTAACTCTAGGACCTAACATGCATACACATTCACACACCGTTGGCCATGCCATCGGGAGCAACTCAGGGTTAAGTATCTTGCCCAAGGATACATCGACATGTTGACTGCATGGGCTGGGATCGAACCCACAACCTTCTGGTTGAAAGACGACCGCACTCCCTCGCAGCCACAGTCGCCCCATATAGTACTTATGCCAGGCCTGTAAGTGGCGCTGTAGTCTGCCACAAAAGCAGAATCAGCCCTTGCAAAAACAGGGCCGGAAAAGAGCAAATAGAGCGAAATGAAGCATGGCTAAAATGCATGATCTGTTGGGTATTTTGAAAAAAACAACTTCATAGACATGTTTCATATAGGTATGGCCCAACAATATATGTTTCAAATATAGCATGAGAGGTCCACTTTAAATACTGGAGTATTTTTATATTTTATGTATAATGCAATAGGTATAAAGAATATGTCTTCCAACAATGTTGGTGGTGGGCTTTATGGTAAGATGTAGAATTAAATGGGAAAACCTTGCATTAAGACACACTGAATGGCCATAAAACAGCATCTGAATCTATGTTAAATTATAACAGAGTTGCATAAAGAATGTAATCATGCTGACTTCTGTACTTGTAGCCAGTTATGTGCACAGTGGCAAACTGAGATTCCTCTGTGGTACAGTGTTGCCTTTCAGGCATGCAGCTTTTTCTAAATTATGTGCATATAGATGAATGTCTTTATGTTCCCAAAATTATTTGGCCGATTTAGAAGGTAATGAAATATGGGAGAGATTTCTTTATAATGGTTTTGTAAATGGCATGCATTTGTGGCACAGTATGCTCCGTTGTGGTTATACATTGCAATTCTGGACCAAAGTAGGTTAAAGTTAACCAAACAAATGATGTGCAGGTCATGTTCAGTCTTTTTTCTGTTTACACCTTTTTAATGCAGGGACAAAAGGTGCTACAGGCTTTTCGTGTTTTTGCAGTGTTTCAATCCTCCTTCGACTGATCATACATTTGAATTTCAAGAGAGAACAATGTCTTAAGATGTATGTCCTTCCAGTAATGTATTCTGAGAATTCAAAAATGCTTATCTCGTTTTTGGTCACTGCTCTCCAGACATTTTGGCAAAGATAAGTTAAGGTTAAGCTGACAAAATATCAAGAAACACATCAGTGACAGCTGTGTGGAGAGCACAGGGAGCAGATCAGATTTTCAAAAGGAAGACGGGGAGAAGAAACAAGCTTCTTTTTTATTTTTCTCGGTGTGTGCATGTCTCTGTGATTGACAACGGAAGCCGTATTGAGATTTTATATAAGGAAGGATCTGAGAGTTGAATGTGTCCCTGCTGTATTGTAATTAGAGCACCAAACAGTAATTAGGGAAATTATATATACAGTACATGCTCCTTGTGCTCTGATAATAATCCCAAACCCGCACGCACACGCAACCC